AAAAGAAGAAGAAATGAACAGAAAAGAACTACAAAAATAACTAGAAAACATGGTCTTAAGTGAGGCAATGTATGTAAAATCCTTAGAACATTGCCTGCCATAGAATGAGAGTAAATCCCTGCATAGGATTATTTTGCTGCATGGGGTGGTTTTCCTTAATGTCTGCAGAGCCCTGGTGGCACATATTTGAGAGGCCCTCAAATGCTGGCTGGGAGCTCCGTGCAGGTCAGACAGGTGGGCGGGCCACGTGAGATGCTGGGCTTTCCTCTGCGTTGCAGGCAGCTCACTGGCCCTCCTGTCCACTGCAGTTTAGAAATTGCACTTTAAAGAGGCTAGGGATATCTGGGAACTACATATTCTTAGGTAGGAAAAAAATAATTTATTTTTACATCATTTCCTTTCTTGTAGCATCTTTGGTACGTTAAAAAATGGTCACCTATGTTTTCATATGAAACTGAGTTTCTAGTACAAAAAGAATAAATTGAATCTTTGTAAATTAATTTCAGTAAACGAAATTTTGACCAAACAGGTCATATTTTCAGAAGACCACAATGTTTTACCCTGACCTATATTGACAATCTGTGTAATATTAGTGACTGGGGGTAATGTATAGTAATTCTAACAAGGAGCCTCGGACCACAGACTTTGAATTATATGTGGAACATATTGAGAGTTTCAAGAAAGGAGAGCACAGCTTGACAGAAATTCACACCAGTAAGGCCAATAATAATAATTTATTGATGTGAGTACTTTAAAGGATTTGAAAACTATGTACCTTCTTCTTTCCTCCACCTCCTGCTCCTCCTCCTTTTGCATAGCAAGTGGAATTACTTAATTTGAGAGCTATGCTTCATAGAATTCATTTACACCACTTCTTCCACCTCTCCAGCCCTTGAAATCAAGTATAATCGGCACGCAGGCAGTATTATCCCTCATGTTGCTTTAAAACACATATTTAAAACACACATTCCACGTATTGAAAGGTAGGTAGGAGCCTAGGAGTTCCCAATACCAAGTCCCGGCTGTTCTTGTTCTGCATGGTTCTGATATGCCCGGGCATCAGCTGTCGAGGTACAGTTCAACAACAACAATTTCTCAACAACACTTCACCAAATATTAACTGAGTAATTACAGAAAACAGAAACTTTGCTACTAGCTCTGCAGGCCATAAATCACTACATAAATAGGAGGTGCCTAATGATTAGTAAACAATTATCCCTTCTTTCAAAGATGGTCGGTGGTGGTCACTGCATACGTGTTATTCAGTTCATGAGCGAATGGCCAAGAGCGCAGCTGTGTTGTCCCTTCGTCTCCTAGGGATAAGCCCACGTGGCATTTTACAGACGTAGATCACTGAAAGAGGGAACTGACCAACAGGGATGAAAGTGCAGCAAAGAAATGAAAAGTGATGTGGGTGGAGGCAAAACTGAATAGAATGCAGATGGAGTTAAGGGAGAAAAAGGTGACGAGGGAGTGGAGACACGGCTGCTGTTCTGGAGACCAGATATGCAGCCAGAGAAATAGTGAATGTGAAGTTGTCACCTAATGAGGGAAATGATGGAAAGGATGACCATGTCCCAGCTGAAGTTATACTGGCAGAAATCTTCACATTAAAGGGACTCTTGGAGATATTTTGTGACATCGGAAGTACAAATGATAAAATGTTGGAAGTGAATCCAAATTGAGAAAGGAGGAAGACAGTTGCCAAGGCACAGGAAAGATGTTTGCTCTCTATCGTGCTGTACAGGGAAAAGGCACAAGCTGTTTTTTTCTACAAAGAAATAAAAGACTTGCTTCTCAAAGTTTTAATGTTTTAAATTATAGTCTGCTAAATAAATTTTAGTTTTACTAATTTTTCTTTTCCTTTGTTAGAAATAGAGTTGTTTTGTTTGTTGTGATGAAGTTTGAATGTTTGTAGAAGAATGCGTCAGGAAATGAGTAAGCCTAATTTATCCTGATTACCTCTCAGTTTCCAATGCAGCCTTCGATATATGCTCTGTAATAAACAGCCCAATTCCCTTAACATTGAAGAGAGCGTGATGTCAAACTTTCTCTAAGGGCACTGGAGGGTTATAACAGGAGAACAAGGTTTCCTGCTATTTTCAACCCAGGCCGCAGGCAGCCCAGAAAACATGGTGACCTTGTAACCTCAGTCTGGCTGCCGTTTCATGATGGAAACCAGAGTCCCGCACAGCCAACCATCTGTTCAGCTCCCTCAGCAAGCCCTGGAGTGGTCTGCATGCAGCCACCTGGTGGACTCTCAGCAAGTCTTCACAGATACACACGCAGCATCTGTAGTCCTCAGGGCCGCGCAATGTCAAGTTTTGTCTGCAAGCCCATGCCCTGTGGCGGCTTTCTGTCCCTAATGGCCTCTAGCATGTCCACACCACTGGCTTCTGGTTGCCTGCTTCCTTACCTGCACCCTAGGAGGTGGCCTGTAGGTCGCCTAGCAACTCCAGACCGACTCTGGCTTGACTAACCGGTGAATGCCTCTGGAATTCAGTGCCTGAACCAAACCTTCTCCAGTGAGGTCCGAGTCCCTCTCATGCCTGTTCTTCCTTGGCTCTATCCCTTGGTGGCTTTTTCTGTTTTGTCTCTGGCCAGCACCACCCGAAATATTCAGTCCCTGAACATTCAACCACCTATGTATTTCTTCCCACACTAAAAACTTCATCTCCTCTTCCTGCAACTTTTCTCTGAAGTCTTGTTTCCTAAAATTAAAGCATATCCCAAATTTCTTCACTGAACGTGCCCTCCACCTCTTTACCAAAATCTGAGTTTGCCCTAGGGGCAACTCTCTTGTATGGGCTTTTTCATAATCTCTTGTAATAGTTCCCACTTTGTAATTTACATTTCCTGCATCCCGCTCTCTTCCAGTAACTCCCCCAACTCTCTCCAACCCTTAATCCCACCATACTGTTCCCTGGCCTGATCAAATCCCCTTGTCTTCCCATCTTACCACTGTTATCTTGATGTAGCCTGGATAGGATGATCATCTCCTATAATATCTCTACTCTCCTTCCCTTTGCTTTTTTTGATTTGGGGATCTGGTGCATCCTGCCAATCTTTCTGCGTGGCTCCTGGTTGCTTGCTCTCTTAATGCTTCAGCATCTCTTCTCAAGCCCTCTCCTCACTACTTTCCAAAACATGTTCAGCAAATGTCCTACAACCAGTCATAACCATCATAACTGTCATCAGTGCCATAATCATCAGTGCTTCCTTATTGAGTTTAAAGCATCTTCACTGACATCTGGTTGGATTGAATCTGTATCACCTTCATCGGAACCATCACTGTTTTATTGAGGACTGTTAATTAAAGTAGATTCAATAATTCGGATGCTAAAGAGGCCTAATAGTTTCTAATTTCCTTTGTGTTCAAATCAAGAATCTGCCAGTACTTCACCATGGCACCATTTCATTGAATAACCTGTCATTTGTATCCATTTGGTGACTCTGACTTTTAAGTTCAAAACCAAATTTAGAACCAGAAAGGCTGGGATGTCTCTATGGACTGTGGGATGGATGTCAGAATCATGACAAGGATAAAATGAATGCCAGGAACATCTGCCTTTTTTGAACTTTTTCTCTGGTGGTAGAAAGAGTGAAGGCAAAACTTAGAGGAGATTCTCTAGAGGTCGGTAGGGACTCCTTGTGAAAGCTTACCTCTCTGACTTGGGCTTCACTGGAGTGTTGCCTGCCTTTCTTGGTATGATAGATGTTGTGCAGTCAGTACAATTCCTGAGATTCTGTGGAGCACCTTTTCTGTGCCCCCTCCGAGGTGCCAGGGACCCTCAGGGGCCACATACGTGGCTGAAGCGTTCTGACACTGGTAAGAGAAGCTAGCACCATTATGATCATTATGTCCTCCCATACCTGTAGTATCCTCTTGAATCAAGTACTCTATTAACATTATTATTATTCAATTCAGATTTGAAAAAATGCTTATTTAAAAAGCTTTACCATATGAGAATATTGATGAAGGTACCTTTGAGGAGCACTGGTTATTTGCAGTCAGGACCTCTTTTTTGATATCTTGAAGGGATGTCATTTTTCTATAGTTCTGCTGATTCAGAGTTCATAAGCTTCTTGGTGACAGACCCACACTTACTGAATCCGCACCAGAATGAAGTGTACACAAATGCCAACCTTTTCGTTTGTGATGTTAGCTATTTCTTTCCAAAGAGCAGACAGAATAGCTTCTCTCTCTAAGATGAAATTGTCTCAGTTATTTGCAATTACTGTGTTAGGAAAAAGAAATAGAACATAACAATAAAAATGGCAATGTTTATACAAAGCATGCAATGTATCAAGCACTGTTTTGAGAATGTTGCCTACATTAATTTCTCACAACAATCCTACAAGGTGATGGTTGGCTGCAAAGTTTGAGCTCTGACCCACTACAATTTGTTCTGGGTGATGTTTCCTCTGCATACTGAAAGACCCCTCAAAATCTCTCTTCATCATAGCAGGGGCTCACCATGTGCCCTGGGACCCATACTCCCATGGAAGTGCTGGATAGGCGATGACCAATTCCTAGGTCCCATTCCAAAGATTAACTTTCCCTTTATTTTGAGGCTGTATTTCTTTAGATCTATTCATACTGATGATTGAGATCAAATAAAATCACTGGTCTCAGTCCTTTGAGTCATCTTGTTCCATCCATCTTGAGTTGAGTTAATAGGTCCAATCCTTATGCACTCAGTTACTCAATCAGCAAGTGTTAATGATGCTATGCTTGTGCCAAACGTCTTGCTGGGCCCTGGGGAAACAGAAATGGTCCTTCCTTGGCACTCTGTTGATAGTTGGGTCTCTTGATGTTTGAAGATGGCCCAGCTGCTGGAGCCATCAGCATGTCCCATCCAGGTACCTACTTTCACATATCATCTCCCCTGTCGTTCAGGGATTCTTGCCTGTCCATAGGGCGACAGGAGGGAATGGGACGGAAGGACCACAGAGCCTGTGGTTTCAGTTCTGGTTGTGGCCTCTGTGCTTCTGCGGCCTCACTCAGGGGCCCTGCCCCAGCCTGTTAACTTGAGGAAAGCCCTCTTTACATCTTTATTTCTGAGGCTATAGATGATGGGGTTGAGAAAGGCAGAGATGACATTGTAGAACAGGGCCAGTTTCTTGTCCCGCTCTGGGGAGGCATTGGCCCCAGGGTTCATGTACATAAACATGGCAGGTCCACAGAACATGGTGACCACAGTGATGTGGGAGGCACAGGTAGATAAGGCCTTGAATCGACACTGAGCTGAGCGAATTCTCAATATGGTGGCAAAGATGAGGACATAAGAGGCCAGAATGAAGGAAAGGGGTACCAGGAGAAGGATGAAACCCAGGATGAAATCTACTTGGTCATTGAGGGATGTGTCTGCACAGGCCAGCTTCAGAACAGCAGGGACTTCACAGAAGAAGTGATTGATCTCATTGGGGCCACAGTAGGGCAGGTGCATAGTGAAGATAGTGTAGACTAGGGAACAGCTAACACCCCACAGTCCACAAGAGACCACCATTGCCCCACAAAGCCAGGAGCTCATGAGAACTGTGTACCTGAGCGGACAGCAGATGGCCACATATCTATCATAGGCCCATGACAGAGAACAGCCAGCCCTCAGTGATGCCCAACACCAGAAAGATAAACATCTGGGCCACACACCCAGCATAGGAGATGGTTTTCTTCTGGCAGACCAGATGCACCAACATCTGGGGTACAGTGGTTGTGACATGGCTCATGTCCAGCATGGAGAGGACGCTGAGGAGGAAGTACATGGGGGTGTGGAGGCGGGAGTCCAGGTGGATCAAGGTGACAATGAGCCCATTTCCCATGAGTGTAGAGAGATAGAGGAAGAGAAAGATGTTGAAGAGGATTGCATTTATTTGGGAATCCCTGGAGAAGCCCAGAAGGATGAACTCAGACATGGAGCTCTGGTTCTTCCAGGGGAAGTTCTGCATTCTCCTTCAGCTGCAGAAAGAGAAACAAACCTTCTAGTGACCCATAATATTCAGGCAGCATGATCATTCAGTTACTGGCGACATCAGCAGTTATTTAGATACTACTTGGGACTAATATCAGGTCAGAGACTGAAGCCTACTTAGAATGAGGCTAAATTAGGGGAGAGGAGGGAAAACTTCATGGAATTTTCTGTTTCTCAGGCCTGAATCTTTTGTCAAGATCTCCAGAGTCTCATTCTTCCTGCTTTCTTGTCCTCCAGGAGCTGCCATCACACAGTGCACTGCTTGAGGTTCTTCTCCCCCAGCCCTGGCTGTACAGTGTGATGATGAAGATCTGACACTTTCCTCTCTCTCTTCCCCCAAAACAATCCCTCAAAACACTTTCCTTTGGTGCTTTAAGCTTCCAGTCACCATAGATATAGAGACAGGGCAAGTCAGAAACACGGGCAAGGTATATGACTCCAGAAACAAAGAAGATGTGGTATATTTCTACAATGGAATACTACTCAGCCATAAAAACTGACAACATAACGCCATTTGCAGCAACATGGATACTGCTGGAGAATGTCATTCTAAGTGAAGTAAGCCAGAAAGAGAAAGAAAAATACCATATGAGATCGCTCATATGTGGAATCTAAAAACAAAAACAAACAAAAAACAAAATATAAATACAAAACAGAAATAGACTCATAGACATAGAATACAGACTTGTGGTTGCCAAGGGGGTGGGGGGTGGGAAGAGATAGACTGGGATTTCAAAACTGTAGAATAGATGGACAAGATTATACTGTATAGCACAGGGAAATATACACAAGATCTTATGGTAGCTCACAGAGAATGAATGTGACAATGAATATATATATGTTCATGTATAGTTGAAAAATTGTGCTCTACACTGGAATTTGACACAACATTGTAAAATGATTATAAATCAATAAAAAAATGTTAAAAAAAGTTTTCAGAAAATTTTACCCAGGTCTGTGTTTCTTGAATTGTTGGGGTCTCTGGAAACTTCCTTATATCTGATTTTATTTTAGATGGAGTTGCTCAGCATCCTTCCTCTTCCTCGCCTTACAACTGAAAAGAAGGGTCTTCCTGGTTGACCCTAAAGTATAATTGAGGCAGAATAGTAGCTGTGCTTTTGGTTAAAGGCAGCATTGGCACCCCTGTGGGGATACCCCTCCCAATGGTAATGTATACTTCGGGGTCTCGTCCTCTCCTAGAGCTGAGATTTATAATAGGCAAGGAGCTCCAGCATTTAGTTTATATCTTAAAAGTTAGGGTGGATTCCTTGTTTGTGGTACCACAGGAGGTAAATGTTCTAGTGGAGGAATATGGAATTTGGAATCAAAAGACTGGAGTTCAAGTCTTGGTACTTCCACTGTGGCCCTGTTCAAGTAATTTAATTTCCCTGAGCCTCATTTTCTTCTCTGTAAAGTCTACATAATATCTACCAGGAGCAGATCCCATGAGAAGTAATACATGATGTGTGTGGAGCACTTAGCGCTTTCACTAGCACAGAGTAGAAGGTCAGTAATGTTAGCTCTCATCAAATTCTCTTCCTCATGGTGTTGTCCATCGAATGGAAAACAAACACTGAAAGAGACAGGGACAAATGTGGTTATTCCTAATCCTCAAGAAGCTTACAATCTAGTTTGGGAAATAGAGGAACAGAGACACAAACCACATTCCAATGTACTTGGCACTGTGATGGAAATATGTGCTAGCAGTCAAAGGTTCGTGCTAAGTACTAGAGATATAGAAATAAAAATCTCTGCCCTCAAAGAGCATGCATAGGAAGGAGACAGACAAACAATGAATGGCACTCAGATGATAAGTGCTGTGGCAGGAGTAAACACAAGGTGTCATGGGAGCCCATTAAGGAGCACCTGAGCTAGCCTCTGGGAGGTAGACTTCTCTAAAAAAACGCATGTGATGGGAATCTTAAAACGATGAGTAGGAATTAGCTAAGAACTCAAGGAAGAGTTTTGCAAGCAGATGGAGGAGCAGGTCAAAAGACTGTACCCAAGGAAGAGACTTGTACACCCAGAGAGCACAAGCAATAACGTCTGAGGGCAGACTGGTTTACACAGGGTAGAAAAAAAGATTATAAAGGGTATTGTATACCTTGACAGGGAGCAAGAACTTGATCATTTAGACCATGGCAAGTCACAAATGAATTTTAAGCAGAGAAGTTGTTTCTCGAGGCTTAGGTTTTAGAAACATCACTACTTGGGTAGAAGTTAGGAGAAGGATTAGAGGAAGACCAGTTGAGAAGTATGGGTAAAAAGCAGAAGAGTAATGTTACAGACAACAAAGAAGAGGCGAGTGATTAGAGGAAGGTGTAGGGAATTGAATCAACAGTACTTGGTAACTGAGAGTTGCAGAAGGTGAGGAAGAGGGAGGAATGAAGGATGAGCTTGAGATTCTAGGCTTGGGAACTTAAGTTGACAGTAATATCATTACAAGTCAGAACCTAGGTGGAGATGAAAGAGGGAGTGGGAAGGAGCAAGAAATGGCCAGAAGGTAATGATTAACTCTGCTACAGATATGGCAGACTTGTACTCTTAGTTCTGATGCTATCTGCTTCCTCAGAGACCATGCAACGTCACTTCTCTCCCTCTCTTTTGGTTCCCCCTCACCCTGTGTCATGGTGTATCCTTGAGGATCTGACCATCAAAGAGTTAGACAGATAGCCTTGGAGCTCAGGAAGGAGGTTTGAGTGGAAGATCAAAATTTGGAAGGCAATTAAGGCACAGAATGGATGAGAATGCTCAGAAACAGCTCAGAGAGAGAAAGCAGAGGCTCCAAAGATGCAACTTCAGAGTAAGAATATTGGAGAGATCCACAGAAGAAGAGATGGGGCTTGAACAAAAGCATCCAGGGAGGCAGGGGAGCTTGATACCCAAAGTCTGGGAAGCTAGCATCTCCAAGAGCAGAGAATGCATTTGGTGCCAAGTGCTACAGAGAGAGCAGGAGGAATAAAATCTGTTCAAATAATATAACACTTTGGAAGTTATTAGAGGCTTGGATGTGGGGGATTTCTGTGGAGTGATGAAGGCAGAAATCGGATGGCAGTGGGTTGTGAGGAAGGTACTGAGCTATAAAGAGAAAGAGTGAGATGAGGGAATATTTAATATTGTGACATAAGGTTGAGAGAGTGTTTTCTTTCATTTTGCTATTTTCTTAACGTAGAACAGAGTTCAGAATACATATAACACAGGGTCAGAGAGGGTGGGGCAAAAGAGAATGAGAGAAGTGACACTGCATGGTCTCTGAGGTCTAAGAGTACAAGTCATGAGAGGTGGATTCAATACAAGTAGAAAAGGAAAGGGAGGAGGTAAGAATGAAGTGGATACAGACCATTTAACTGTGACCAGCAGAAATTTCAAGATCACATTCCTAAGGACCAGTCTCATGGGTTCTTCCTTAACAACACCTCATGTAGATGGTGAAGAAGATGATCTTACCCAGTGATTGAAAGTTAAATTTTTTTAAAAAGTTAAATTTCAAGTCTCAACTGAATAGAACAAGAAGCTGACATCAACATAAAGTTATAAGACAAACATAAAATTCCCTGTCCTTCTTTTGGTGCTCAAAAAGCCAACCAAAGCAAGCTGAGATGGGTGCAGCAGGTCACTGGGAAACACCCAAAGACTGAAAGTGGCTCAGTGCAAGGAAATTTCTAAAAAGTCATTGTGAAGTGACATCGCTGAGAAAGGATGCTGACAGATCACAGGAAGCGTCATGGAACTGGGTCTGCGGTAGCCAGACCACATGTGGGACATCTCTTCTACTTCTGGGACCACATTTTAAGGGGAGTGTAGTTAATTGGAAAAGGTCATAAAGAAGGATCTGGAAACCACATAATATGAGGAAGAGTTGAGGCAAATGGAGGCATTTGCCATGCAAAATGAAAGAGGGGGGAGCATTCTGGAAGCTGAGGGCCAACTCTCTGACAGGCTTTCAGATGAGACTTGTTCCAGGTGGTCCCTAGAGTTACACCTGGAAGTACACTAGGGAGGCAAGTTCCACTGTAATATAACCAACTTAGACTAGTGAGGGCAGTCCATGATAGGATCAACTGACTAGGAAGGTAGTGAACTTGCTGGTCCCATGAGAGGATCAGACAAAATGTCATTGTGGCCAGTCCTGCTGGTAGGGCAGAGGGGCTCTGTGGTCAACTCTATCTGCAAGAGTTGAAGACTTTGCCATCTGTTTGTGCTCTCCTTCTCCCTGCTGCACCTGGACCTGATGCCTGGACTATTATGGAAGTCTCTCAGTAAGCTTCCCACTCCTAGTCCTTGCCACATACTTGGTGAGAGGAGAATATGGTACAGAATTGAGGAAAAGAGGAAAGTACAGAAGGGAGAGGGATAGAAGAGCCAGGAACAGGTGAGTGGGGAGCTCCAAGCCCCTGTGAGCCTCCTTTCCATCCATCCCAAGGCCTGGCCTAAAGTCAAGCCACAGAGGAATGGCAAGACCCCAGTATCCTGTCTGAAAGCAGTTACATCTCTCCTCTTCCCAACTGAGAGCATCAGAGCTCTTCCCAGTTCTAATGTTTCTCTCCAGCTTCCAACTTCTGTAACTTGTTTTCCCTACCTTTATCTATCCTTCCAGTGTCCTGTCCTGTGTCCTCAGTGGGCTACAGAGGAGAGCCAAATGCCTCAGCTCCATAGCAACAGCCTTCACTACCTTCTGCTTTTCTCCCTCTCAGCTGAGGAACTCACCCAAAAGACAAGGCGGGAAAGAAAAAGACAAGGAGATAAACAGATCACTGTACAGAGAGAAATTGGTGAAGAGAGGAGGACAGAGGTCAGGGAGCAGAGCAGATGCCCAGCTCTGGAGGGCCTGATCTAGACAGACGGGAGATGGAGGCAGGCAGGTAGGCACCCAGTCAGACAGATGCGGACAGGTGGGGAACATCAGGCAGGGCTGCCCAGGGGTGGGACATCATGATTCAGGCCACTGCCTCTGTCCCTCCCCTCCTTACCTGGTGGTGGGCTCAGAGAGGGATGAGCCAGGGGCCTGCTGGGT